GAATCGGGCGGCTAACCTTAAGGTTACCATTTCGAAAGTATCAGCTGTTCTGCAAGAGAAAGATGAGGCTTTCTGCTCCCGTAAAGGTTTACAGCCTCGGAAACCCTGTACATGGTCCCTCTGAGCCAGAACCGACTCCATAGCACGTAGCATATCGCTACCAGATCTCCTATAGGATAAATGCTATAGAATGTATGGGACTTCTGACATTTTATTGATAAGAAAGCCTAAGTCTGAGACTGCTGACTTTTTATTGATAAGGAAGCTAAAGATTGAGAGAAATTCAATGATGTTCCTGATGCCTTCATTATTCATTAGTGGCAGAAAATCTACGCCACCTAAAGCTCTCTGAATCTCAGTCCAGTGCTCCAGCCTTCTGTCATCCTGTGCCCTGCCTCTCCAGTTGCTGCTATCTCCTAAATTTGACCTTAGGGGTCCACTTTCCAGGCAAGGGAGAAGAGAAGGCCATGAGGTCACACTAGCTCAGGACATATCGCAGTGAAACTAATGTTTTCTGGGGCCCCATGCTCTTCAAAACCTTCAGTAGAAATGGTTTTACCCTTCTTCAGAGTGCCTCTTTTATTAGAGCTGAAATCCTGTTCCCTTTGAGCTTAATTATAAAGGAATATCTTCCTGTCTCCCACCCTGACATCCCAAGGTAGGTAGTAAATTTGACACCTCTAGAAAGAGATCTTTCCCAAATGCTCACTGTTCTTTGTGCCTCTCCTAGCCAGGGGGATACAGAGTACACTTTGCTTGTCTGTGGGGCCTTCTCTTTGTCATGCTTCCATTGACCCAACTCTGCTAGCTCTTGCTCAACAAGTGCTGGTGGAGAGAGATGCATCCCTGGTTAGAGTTGCAGCAGGACCCCATTCTAGTCATGTTAGTTTTTCCGGCGTCCGCCAGGGGGCGCTAAAAACACATAAAGCTGGGCTGCTCACAGATTGTTCCTTAAGGTGGTCACCTGGGCTCCCTTTGTAGGCTCTGGCTGCTCTGCAGCAGTGGCGGGACCTTGGGTGGGGATTGGCTGGTCCTCTGAGGCCGGATTGGGCACCAAACACCGCGCAAGGCAAGGCTTAGTCTTGGGGGCAGGACTGTAGCTGCGAGGCCCAGTTCAACCTGTGGGTCCCAGTCAAGGGTGCAGAAGAGGGCGGGGCAAGTGGTGATTTTCTCCTGCACTTTCTCAACTTTGCATTAATGACATTGCCAAGTCACGCTTTAGAACAGTTTACATTGGTTCTGAGTCCATGTGACAAGTGAGGACACTGAGGCTGAGAAGTGGAAGGCGTGGCCAACTGCAGGGCCAACCAACCTGCTGCCAGGTACTGAAACTTCAGGGTCTGCATTCCCAGACCTCCTTGGATCCGTGGGCATCAGACGCAAGGCTCCTGCAGCATTCACTGCAGCCCACCACATGGCACCCAGTACACCTGAAGGAAGTTCCTTGGAGAAGGAGCTCCGGACGCAGAGGAGGAGCCAGGGCAGCACCTGAGTAGGATAGGCACTGGAGTAAAAGAAGGTCATTTTGAACAAGAAGATCGGTAGTTCAAACTCACCAGTCGCTCCTCAGAAACCCTATACAGTATCTCCC